CTGGCTCCTCCTCGGGCTCCCGCGGCGTTAATCTTTGGGACTTTGCAACACTTGGGGTTAGCAGAGCTCAATGTGGCAACTTTTTTTATCTGATGGCCGGCTCTGAGAGCGGGCGAGCCGCATAATGAGGGAGTTACCGCCGTGCCGGGGCCTGTGCACAAGTTGTGCCGGAGCCACGAGCGTGGCTCGGTGCTCAAGGGTGGAGCAAAGCCATTTTTCTGCTGGGAAGGAAGGGAGCCATGTTAACGTTAAACCCGGCTTAAAACCGCCCGATTGTTCTGCTCTCACACAGGCAAGAAAAAGGCTAAAGGCGTTTTCCAGAGCTTCGGCGTGAAGTCGGGCTTATCGAGCCTGCAGAAATGTAACAAATCTGAGAGTTCCCATTTCAGGGTGGTGCTGGGAGTTGGAAAACGTGGTTTGGCCGTTTCCAGAAGATTCAGTGGAAAAATCAGCTAAATGCAGCTCGGAGGTTCTCTGGTCCTTCTCCTCGTGAGTTTAGTGGAAGGTTCAAAAATTGCATTTTAGGAGAACACAAAAATTGCATTGTAGGAGAACACGGAGCAAATGGAAAAAAATTCCCTAGCTAGCCAGTTGCTCTTTGTTTTAATTCTTAAAGCAGGAAAACGTATTGAAAATAATATTGCACTTAGTAAATTTGGTATCTTAATGATTCATATTTGATTTCTCATGATAGTGGAAAAGTAACTGTTGTTACTTTAAGTGATTTAAATTCCTAATCTAGTGTTTAGGATGGAAGAATCCCTGAGTTTTATCAGCCAAGGAAGGTGTCCTTGCACGTGGCAGAGGGGTGGAACTGGATGATCTTCAAGGTCCCTTCTAACCCAAGCCATTCTTCCATCTTCCAGAACAAAAGTGTTGAATGTCCTCAGACAGGCCCCGTCTGGTTTTGCAGCATTTGAAGAAAGTCCTATTGCTGTATTTTAGTTTTGATCAATGTGAATGGTGACATATTATTAATTTACCAAATGTAATCCCTGGTTTTGGCTTCTCTCTGGTTAGCTGTGTTCAGGTATTGGGCAGAGTTTTCCCTCAAGCTGTCCAAAGCAGGATCTGCCTCTCCTGGGGGGCTGATGGCCTGGAAAACCCAGACTGTGCAGGAATGGTGAAAGTCTGAGTTTTTTGGTGTCTTGGCCACACCTTGAAAGTTGTTTTGCCCATTCATTTTCCATGTGGTTTTAAGCTCTTGGATTTCTCTCCTTTTTTTTTTTTTTTAATTTATTTTTTTAATCCTTCCTGGACTCCTTATAAACATTACCCATTCGTTTGTGTCATGTAGACTTGCCACGCTCTTGTTATTTTTGTTGTGTGTAATAGGTTGAGAGTGAAAATTCAGCTCTACCAGGTGGATGACTTCAGCAAACCTAGAATGCCATTTGTGGTTTAGTCCCAGAATTTAATACCAGGCCCAAACTTTGTGTAATTGCACTGTGTTGTTGCTGCCCTGCTGCTTTTTACACCATCCTCACGATTGAAAGGGTCCTCTAGCTGTAAATCAGTTTTATATCCATCTGGAGAAAAAGCATTTATGCAAGTGCAAGTCATCCTCACCGTGAAGAAATCTTACCTTGTGTCCATTTTTTTTTTTTTTGGTCATTCTGTTGCTGTTGTTATGAAGTATTTGGATTTCTAGGTGGTTTCTGGAGGCTTTTATTAAAAAAATTCTGCAGCAGCAAGTGAATGAACTCTGAGCTTCCTTGTCTGTCATCTATAATTTATTTTTTAAATACTTAATGAGAGCTATTACAAGACATGCAGCTGCCTTTGAAACAGAATTTTACATCTGCAGCACTATCTTTAAAAACTAATGGTGGTTATTGATAGTGACTGGCTTCTGTTACCTCTTTGAAAACTCAAATTTTAAAAATAGTGGGAGCAGTCGGCTGAAGGAGTTAATCTGTGCCTTAAATGTGGAATCAGTGATTAGTGGCTGCAAATGAGGAGTGAATGGCCCATGTGCTCCTCATCTGGAATTTGCTTTGTAGTAGCCAGGAAGCAGCTCAGGTGCAGGGAGATGCTGCTGCCCTGGGTGGATTCTTCACCTCCTCACTTCCCCGTTCCTCCTGGCTCAGCCAGAAATTAAAGGACGTTTCAGTATTGAACCCTTTTCATTTCTTAAGCAGCTTTTATGGTTTCTAGAAGGCATTCCATTTGATGTGGTATTACAGGATTTTTTTTTCCCTTCCAGTTCAGGGTGTGATGGTGGTTGATGTTTAACCACTTAATAAAATCTCATCAGACACATGAATTAATTTAGTCTTTGATTCTTTTGCTCTGTCGTACAAAATACCTCAGGGTGTTGTCTGATAGTGGGAGATGAAGGTGAGGGGGAAGAAATAGGCAGATTTATCTCTTGTCTCTGTTATTAGCAGATAAAACTTTTACTTTTGCTTGTAGCTCCTGGCCCACAGAAACACCACGTTAGTGGTGTAGGGAAACCTGCAAAATCTGCAGCAGAAACTGGTGTGGATGGCTCAGGGGTGAGGGAGCTGGGGTCAGGATTGGCTCTGCTCTGCACTCAGATAATTCAGCTGTGCCAGCCTCACATTGGGGCACACGGGGCGGCAGAGCAGTGCCTTGTTCTCTAGAAATGCAGTTTATTTTGGAGAGGTGCTCAGGGCCTGCAGCAGTGAGTGTGGAGTGCTCTGGAGGCAGTGCTGGTGATCAGGCAGGCAGCAGGGAATTGTGCCTTCCCCAGACGGCTCAGGGAGGTGCAGGGCTGAATCAGACACTTTTATTTGGTGCTCATTTGCATTGGGGTTATTAACCAAAGTTGTTGTTTTGCCTTTCAGATTTTAAAGTGAACTTTCAGTGTTCATGTTGACAAATTCCCTTTTTCTCAGTTTGGACTGGGAAGAGAACTCAGCCAGGCTTTACACATTTTTCTAGTTGCTTTCATTTTATTCCATGGTTGCACAGTTGGATTTTTGACTGAAAGTTACTTTCCTGATTTCTGCCTGCACCCAAAGAAATCACCCTCTTTGTTTCTCAGTAATTTGATAAGAAATGTTATTAATTACTTACAAGTAATCACATTGTTCTGTAGGCTTAACATTTTCCTTTGAGCCTCTCGAGAGTTGCAGCTGCAATCACACAAAGCAAACTATGCCTTGGAGTACCTTGTTGGGTTAATATGGTTTGAAATTAGCCTTTGGAGGAGTCGACTCTGTCATTAAACTGTTGTGACTGTTTCCTCAGAGCTTTATAAATCGAGTTAAGCTGTTGGGTCCATTTGGTTCTCAGTGTGTTGAAGTTTTTTTGGGTTTTTTTTGTTTTTTTTTTAAACTGAAGCAGGGTCTCAAGTCATGCAGATGATGATTATAAACACTGATGGTCCATTTAGCAACTTTTGCTTTCTAACAGCTATTTAAGAGTTGTCATTTATAAACTGCTTCTAGAACATTATATTAATGAAGCATTTATTGCTTTGCTGAGACATTCACTATCTGAAATAGTTACTTTTATCCTTTCCCAAGCTCCAGTAATTATATGAAAAGAATGAGCATTTAGCATAAT